AAGTGCAGCCCAGGTTCCAGTTTGAAATGGTGCCCACTACTCCCTCCCACAGCTCCTTCCAACTGCTGATAAAAACAATGGTTCCCCACCGTAGATATGCCAAGATCACCGGTGGAGCTTTGTAGATTATACTAGTTATGATCCAGACACAGATGAATTGAGAATAGCCTACCCCAACTTATTTCATCCAAGTAAGGACATGGAGATTCTTTATATCTGTTCCCCCAATAGACCACTGACTCAGAGGGCCAATCGTGTACCCACAGGAAGCACATCGGCCATTCCCTGGCCCGCTGGTGTCATGTTCTGAGGTAACTGTTGTTCCTTAGTCCACATTGCTATCTGGCAGACATGGAAAACCCAGAAAACAACTGGACTAGAAGTAAAGCAGGTGGTGTGTTCTGGCATTAGTGCATAGCGTCTTGAAAAAAAGAGGCCCCCCCACAGTGGATGGTGGAGAAAAACATCATGGTAAGAGTGAACGCTGGAAACGTTTTTTTGTTGTTGTTGCTTTTTGTTTTACGTACATTGTGTCCAATCAGAGTATGAGAAGACCAGGCAAACAGAGGTAGAAGATGTTTCCTCATAAAGCAACACAACATGAAGAGGAAGCCTCCCAGACTTTTGGGGTGGGAATGGGAAATGGGAATGTTTACAACTGTACTACAGAAGGGATTTGAGAAACGGAATGACCTGTCATTCACATTGCCTGAGAGTGGGGCCAGAGAGATCAGTTTTGCCTTATCTGAGATGAGAAAAAAGAAGAAAGCATGTATAACTAAAACCACAATAACAACAAAAATAAGGATCTGACAAAAAATATTATGGAAACAAAGGAAAGGAAAGTATCATTCTGGAGGTACAGAGAAAAAGCAAGGCTCCAAAAATGATCTCCTGCAAAATACCAAAGAAAATTTCAGAAAACTGTTTCACGAGGTGTAAAAGGATTCCCTCCACAGTGAAAGACGGAAGCTGTAAGAAGAGATCAGTCACGTAAGGAAGACTGCAGGTTGAGATAAAGAGAGAGATGAAAGGTAAGCAAGCATTGCAAGAAACTCAACACATAAAGGCAAACTCCCACTCACACTGATGGCAATAAAGAACAATATTGACACTGTTGGAAACTGACAGTATGGCTGGCAAATGTGAGACTTTCTCACACAAAGCAGAAAAAGTGTGTGCAGATGTCCAGGCCCCGCTCCCAGAAATTCTAATTTAATTGACCTAGAGTGGAGCCCAAGCATATTTTATTGTTGTTGTTGTTTTGTTTTCTTTTCTTTTTAATCCTGATATCCAGGCCCCATCTCAGACCACTTAAATCAGAGTTACTGGGGATGGGACCCAGGAACCAGTATGTTTTAAAGCTCCCAGGAGATGACACTGTGAAGTCAAGGTTGAGAATCACTGCTCTAGAGGTTTGGGAGCAAAAATTTGTAGCTCAAGGATTTCAAGGTTATTTTTCATTGATGAAGACAATAGGAGACGTAGTCAGGTATGCAAGTACTTACAAAATACCTATATACCTGCGAGAAGAAATAACTTAAAGACATCTTTCAAGTGACCAAAACATGAAGCAAAAAAAGTTTAAAAAACTAAAAACTAGTAAAGTCATGATATAAAAGGTATAGATGTAGTTTAAAATGTCAATATAGTTCTCGAAAAAATATAATTGAAAAGCATAATTAAAAAAATAAATTCCCATATTAATAATGACTGAAAAGGGAGGTAGGGTAAAATATATTACATATCTACATATACATACACACACACATATATATGTATTTGTGCATACATAAATACATATGAAAAAGACAACATAAGCAAAATAAAATTAGTAAGGTATTCATAAAACTTCTTCATATTTAGAGTCCCACCACTCTGAATCAATTTTGTACCCAGTTGTCTGCTCATACTACTAGAAATAACAGTGTAATTAGTATGTTTCCCTCTGTGAAAGAGTACACATTTATTTAATTTTCTGAGTCAAGTTTAACTTTGTTTAAATACCACCCACAAAAACAGGGGAGGATTCATGTCTTGCCTTTGAATCATATGAGATTAGTATCTGGGAAAATGGAGGAGTCTAGGCATTCAGTCAATTTTTATTGCTGCTAGCTACGGCTATTGCTACAAGCTTACGTGGTCCATTCAAAAACCACTCATTCTGACAACTTTCCTCCCCATATTAAGTCTAGCAACAGCTCCCAAGGCCATACCACTTATTTGCTCAGGGCCTCTGCAATGAAAGCCCACATCTGGACCACCAATGTAACCTTCTACCTCCTGGAATCCAAGTCTAGAGGCAGGCTATGGTTCTTTTCCATTTTTGAATCTGTAGCTATATTGGTGGGCATTTACCCTCAAAACAGAAGGGTCAGAGTACTGCCTTTCCTCAGTAAAATAGAGTAGGTCATGGCAGACTAGAATTCCCATTGCAACAACTATGAAAAACCAGATAAGTTACAAGAGTTACATTTTTAAGGGTCTCAGAAAATGAGGAAGCAATGAAGGACTACATAAATCGCCAATTGTTTTCTTCTTTGGGGACATTTGACAGTTCTGGGCATGTGCCAAAAATTAGCCTTGGCTTGTAAAGAAGAATTTTCCTGAGGAAAGAGAAACCAGAGAGATTTTTTTCATGTGAGGCTGGTGAGAGAAACTAGAAACTTGAGAGGTGCTAAACATACAACTGGTTTTCCCCATGGGACAGCCTCTGAGTTCAGGGGCTATGCAAAGAAGGCTGGAAAGTTTGGCTGAAAGCTTACAAAAGGCATAATACAATCTCCTCTGGTTTCATAGTGCTAAGGAGAAAACGTCTAACAAGAAAAAGTGGTCCTGCCATTCAAACACATAGCCAAACACCCCTTAGGACATCACCCAGATTTTGAAGTTGTGATGGCACAAAGAGTGGAAGGATAAAGAGCTAAGTTCAAAACTTCCAAAGTACGACACTAGATTCCCAGTGTTTCAGGACTGAGAAGACATAAATCCTGCAGGATCTAATCAAAAGCTCAGAATAGCTATGTTTAAGGACAGGGAAAACCCAGAAGTGGACCAAATCTTACTAAAAGCTGCAATGAAATCCCTACACATCTCAAGATAAAGCCCCCGTTCTATCAGTCTAATGGGGAAAGTGGAAACCCTCATCTGGAGCCTCTGCAATGTTTTTGTATACAATGTCTGACAAACAATAAAAAATTACTAGACATGCAGAGAAATAGGAAAATGTGAATGATAATCATAATCAAGAGAAAAGGTAAACAATGGAAGCAAACCCACAGATAATCTAGATATTGAAGCAAGAAGACAGGGACTTTAACTGATTAATATATTACAGAAAATCAAAGAAAAGAGGGGAAATTGATGAAAAGATAGGAATATCAACAGAGAACTAAAATCTGTATAAAAAATCAAATGGAATTACCTAACTGAAAATTACAATATTTGAAGTTAAGAACACATTGGATGTATTTAACAGCAGGCTTGACGAAGAAGACAAAGTTATTAGACTCTAAGATAAGACAATAGAAAATATACAAATTCAAGCACACATAGAATTAATACATAAAAATAAAACAGCATTAGAAAAAAACCCCACAGCATTAGAGACATATGGAACAAGTTAAAAGATCTACCATATTTCATTGTAATACCAGAAAAAGAAGAGAAATAAATTGGAACAAAAACAATATTTGAAGAAATAATGGCCAAAACTTCCCCAAAGTTATTAAGACATCATCCCACAGATTCAAGAAGCTCAGTAAATTCTAATCAGGATTAAAAAAAGAAAATTACACTAAGACATATTTTGTTAAACTTCTAGTAATCAAGGATTGAGAGAAAATCTTAAAATCAGCCAGAAAAAAAAGATACATTAAATTAAAAGGAGCATCAATAAAACTAATGGTTGACTCTTCAACATAAGTTATGGAAGCTAGGAAATAATGGAATAGCATCTTCAAAGTAGCAAAGTAAAAGTTTGCCAACCTAGAACTCTATACTCATTTAAAAATCATTCAATGAGAAAAGTCATGGGATAATTCTACTGCATGGATATTGAATTGCTGTTTTCTTGAATTTAAATAATGATGTGACAGATACATTTGCAGTAAATATATTTATTTGCAGAATATAGATTCACATTAGTTCATTATCTTTAATTTAGATTTAATTGTGTGTTTGTAGATATTCATGGATTACTAATTTTATTAACCTTTTTATATGTCACCAAATCTATTATACTTGCAAATGTGTTCAATATACTTTTTTTAAATTTTTTATTATGAAATACATTTTTAGAATTAGTTTCAGCTGTACA